CAGATGTAGGTGAGAAACGAGAAAAAAATAGATGTAATGTGTTTGCTCCAAACCAATTTCACGCCTCCGTGAGGACTCCGCCCGCGCGTGCGGACCGCCCCACCGCCGCCCACCCGCGTGCAACGCGTGCGCACACGCAGCCGGCTCCACCCGCGCTGGACACAGGGCCCAGGTGGGACACGACAGGCGGGCGTGGGCGCGCCCGACCCTGAGTCTCGGGTACAGCCCCCCCCGCGCCCAGGCCGCGCCCCACAGCGGAGTAGTCCAGCGCCTGCTGCTCGCCGCGCGGGCCTCGCGGGGGCCTGGGCCTGGGCCTCGGAGCGTCTCCTGGGCGAACGCCAGGGGGCGCTGCGGCACCCGCGCGTCTCTGGCCGTGACGCGTTGCGCGCTGCTGCCACCAGAGGGTGCTCGCGGACAGCGCCCGGCGCTGCCCACCGCGCGTGGCCTCTCCCGCCAGCCAGCGAGGCGGAGGTGGACTTTGACTTTTGAATACTGCGTTCGTAACACCCTCGGAACGGGCTTCCGGTCCATGAAGGCGAAGCCAGATGACGGCGTCCAGTACACGCACAAGCAGAGCATAGATTCAAAATAAAGTTATTTTGCACAATTTCCCCAGTGGGTGTAGTGAGAGTGGGACAAGTCAGAGCATGCGGACAGTTGAAGAAGCACCTTTGGATCCCATTTTAGATAACGGTGGAGCTGCTTAGCTACAGTATTTGGGGGTCCAGTAGAATTGGCCAAGAAAGGAGTCAACCTTGTTCAGATTGGAGAGCGACAGCTTCTGTCCTTGGTACTGATATAGAGAGTGGGAAGCAGGTTTGGGGAACTTCCATGCTTGGCCACTCCGCTCTGCTTTGTCCACTTGGTGCTAGAAGAACACATTTTGGAAGACATTTCCTCGTATTCATTAGATCCTTGCACCTGCTTTTTTTTTTTTTTTAAAGATTTATTTATTTATTCATACAGAACTGGGGTACAGGCCAGAGTTGTGGAGGGTGAGAGGCTTCACCAGAGACAGAGTGGGGAGCAGAACAGGCAGATCATGGAAGTACACTGCTGAGGGGAGCAGCGGGCGGGTCAGGAGAGGTCTGCCACGCCATGTGGTCACCTCCGGGGCAGGCGGGAATCGAACTCATGCTGAAGCGGCTTTAGATTCTCAGTGCTGTGCTTTAACCCGCTGCGCCACCAGGGAGGGCCCTGCACCTGCTTTTTGACTAGGCAAGTGAATAACCTGGAAAAGTTAAAGATGGGGCAAGGTCACGTGGCGCGTCAGAACGGGAACTATCGGCCCAGGCTTTTGTCCATTTACCTTGTAGCCTAGGTTCCATGGCCCATGGAGGTGCAGGGAGAGGAATGGGTCACTGCACTGTGTATTTGAGGACTTTTATCCTAGTTTAGCTACAGAATGCCAAGGACCATGCAGAAGTCATACTTCATGGCTCCAGCATGGAAAGTTTACAGATTAAAGGTATAAACGGGTTATAAAATAGCAATATCTAATAAACACATGCTCAGCCAGGGCAATCCAAAGTCCCTGGGGTGTCACTTGCTTCTTGCAGAATTGGTGGCCCACTGGGATTTGTTAGCAACAAGCTTTAAGCTTGTACTCTGCGTTAGCTTGTGCAAAGGATTCCAGTTTACTGAGTATGGTTCTGGTCAATAAGCTTTTGACTTGAGCTGGGTGACATACATCTTCAAGATCAGGGGGTCTTTAACATCCAGTCCTTGACAATACATGACCCATTCTATTCCATCAGAGAGTGACAGGAAGGGATGTTGAGAGGGAGAGCTTTCTACGTACACCCTTTGTGCTTTTGAAATTTTGTATGATGTGAACTTTATTATCTGTGCAAAAAAAAATGATAGCAATTTTAAAAATCACTCTTCTTTCATGCCTTATTTGATAGTGCTGTTACTGCTCATAGTTTTGTAGTAATTGTAGTTCAGAGGTCCTTCAATTTATCAATTGAATATATTGACCTCATTGATTATACATGAATTAACTCAATAAGCATCTATTATGTATCCAAACACTGTAAGCCATCAAACCACCTAACTTCTTTCTAAGTAAAAAACACTTTTGAAATCTGGTCTTTCACATGGTACTGTAAAGTTCTTGGTTAATTTAACAAAAGGTTATTCTGAAAAAAATATCTAGAAGGATGCACAAGAATTACCTTAGTACTTTTGTAGTGAGTGGGGAAAGAGTCCCTTTAGCTAAGTGAAGGCACCTCTTTTTCTTCAGGCGACATCTTCCCACTAAATTCATCTTCCAGAAGTTTCACTGAGTTTAATGTGTTCAACCCATATTAGATCACGCGTGGAAATCACACTCTTCTCTCTTCACCTCGCTCATGAACTGTCAATCAAGTGTAACGAAATAAAGCTCCCTTCTTGGTCCTCTTCTCTCTCTCTCTCTGGCAAGTGTCTTTCAGGGTGTGATTTTCATTAAGCTAATGCGAACTCATGAACAGCGATGTCCAAGTATCTCTGGAACCCAGGTTTCCTCTCGCCCTGCTTTGTCTTGGCTCAGGAGCAGTGAGATTCTGGCACAGGTTTTCCTCCTCACCCCTACCCAAACTGCAAGTCTGTCTTTGCTACTGTTGTAACTAGCTGCTTCTTCCTGCTCGCACCTGAGTAACAGTTTCCCAGTGACCAGATGACCTTCACTGTAGCTGATCAGACTTGCTCTGTGGCCTGAAGCTCTGGTCACTCTTATCCTGTTGGCTTGCCTGTCTTAAGTCTCTCTCGGCTGTTGACCTGAGGCTTCTATCAAGTGAAAGTGCCCATGACTTTTGCCTCTAGATTGACAGCTACACTGCTGGGAACCAGGAGGAGGGGGAGGGTAAAAGGCGCCACCATTTCTGTGTCTGAGGATGGGGGAAGTGAGCAGAGTCATCTGCAATTAGCGGGTAATTAGCACTGCTGACCCTTGGGGCTCATCAGTGCTCCTGGGGCCAGCCCCCAGCAATCAGCCAGGGCAGGTCGAGAGTGTCAGGCCCGGGAATGAATAGGGCTCATCAGCGTAACTGAAGCTGGGAGCCAATCAGGGAAATTAATAGCAGAGAGGGAGAGGGAGAGGGAGGGAGACACACAGAGAGAGACAGACAGACAGACAAGAGATACAGATGTAGGTGAGAAACGAGAAAAAAATAGATGTGACCGATGGGGATAGGGAACGGGAAATCGGAATAATGGAATAGAAATAGGGCCAGGGGTAGAAATGAGGGCTGGAAAGGGAAGAATGGGAGGAAGAAAGAATGCAATGAATGGAAGAAAGATGGAGGGGAAAGGTTAGAGGAGTGGGAAGCACTTAGCATAGTGTGGGCACTCGAGGAAATCACCCACCTCGGTGAGAGGGACTAGGAGAGCCTGAGGTGGAGGCGGGACGAAGAAGGGGGAAGAGCCAGCGCCATGGGTCGAGAGGCGAGGGGAGAGAGTGCCGCCGGGGTGGCGAAGAACCGGCGGCCCTGGAGGGAAAGGGTCCTGACCCGGGGCAGTGCCCGGGCGGAGCGCGCCCCCTACTGTCCCTGCCTCGTCGCCCGAGGTCCTGCCCGGCCCGCGGAGCCGGCGCTCGCCCGGG